AAAAAAAAAAAAAGGAAGTAGTCCTCTTTTATTTTTTATTTTTTTTATTTTATCTGTTGATTAGCGCCGGAGGAAAAGTCTTGTTGGGTTGGTTACCTACCTACATTTTCCCTCCCACCCACCCCTTGCATGCATCCCGTTTCACGTCAGCAGTGCCAGATCAGCAGTGCCACGTCAGCAGTGCCACGTCACAGTGCCAAGTCAGAGTGCCAGATCAGCAGTGCCAGATCAGCAGTGCCAGGTCACATTGCCACGTCAGACATAGTGCCACGACAACAGTGCGACGTCAGACACAATGCCACGTCAGCAGTGACGTCCGACACAGTGCCACGTCAGCAGTACCATGTCAGACACAGTGCCACGTCAGCAGTGCCACATCAGCAGTGCCACGTTAGCAACATGACGGGCCTGCCAGGCCAACTGGCCAATGAGACCATTGTCGCCTACAAGCAGCGTTGCCTGGCTCAGATAGAGGCTGAGGAACAACGCCTGCTGGCAGTCGAGGCTGCCCGCGTACAGGCTGAAGAGGCAGCATCAGCAGAGAAGCTGCGGCTACAGGCCGATGCAGACGCAGATTCCCAGGCTCGCCGCAAGGAAGCCCAGGATCTGTTACAGTGGCATGAAGCCACAAGCATCGACAGACTCAAGTTCTGGCATTTTGAACCAAACGGCGACGAGGCAACAACGGAAGAGCAGCATAAGGAGTTCCTCTCCAAACTTGTGACACGGTTGCTGTATGCTTTTAACTACCAACGGTCGGAGTTGGAGAGACAGTACCAGGACCTGACGCAACAACATCAGGAGTTGGCGACGCTCCGCCGCACAGTGCAGAGCCACGAGGATGCAACTAGGGCACTCAATGCCCGATTGCTGGACCTGGAACAGGCTGTACCAGGACCAACTGCTGGGGCTTCCAGCAGTGCACCCTCTAGCCGCCAACTGGAGGAACGCGTTGACCACATCCTGGCCATGCTCGGCGACATTAACACCTTCGCTGCGCCGTCCACCATCAGCACTCAGCTGCATACCTTGAAGACCGAGGTCCAACAGCTGCAGTCGACGAACGCAGATGGCAATCAGAAAATGCCAACTTTCCAACTGGAAAAGTTCGACGACTACACGCAGCAGGATCCGACCCTCTGGTGGGAGGCATTCACGACGCAACTCAGGATTCTGTCTGTCGCTAAGCATAAGTACATCGGCGCCCTGTTCCTGAACTCAAAGGGCGGATGCCAGACCTGGTTGACCCACCTGGCAACCTCCCACGGCGTCGACGTACCGGACCTCAAGGACAAGATCACATGGGAAGAACTGACATGGCTGTGGAAGAAGCGGTTCATCGTTGACGACGCGCCGACACTCGCCATCAACCGTTTGTTCACCATGTCACAGGGCAACACTGCAACACGGGATTGGCTCACAGAGTGGCAGAAGATTGCGCCAGTGCCCAATCTGGACCTGCCTTTCACTCATCTCAGGCATGAGTTCTACAACAGGTCCTGTGCTGCATTGAGCCAGGCTCTTGGTGATCGCGAGCAGTGCGCCACCTTCGCCGAGATTATCGACAAGGCGCGAGAGATCATCAAGACCAACAGGTCAACTGCACATGAGAAATTAACATCATGGCAGCCGACCTATGTGGAGAAGGTACGAACTGGTCCGCGACAGCAGCACTTCGCTGCAGTCCAGCAGGACAATGGGGATTACCCAGCAGCCACTCCAGCATCAAGTGACGGAGATCAGGTGGCTGCTGTCCAGCCGCGAAGCACCAACAAGTCCCGCAACAATGGGAAGGCGAAATCCGCMTCGCAGGCCGGAAATGGACAGCCATGACAGTTTCCATGGGTCAAGTTTGGCTTGACCGAGGCGGAGTACAAAGTTTGCGGCCGCTACGGCAGCTGCTATTGGTGCAATAGCACCAAGCACAAGACCTCCCTGTGCCAAGATCAGGGCAAGGAGGATGTGCGACCGCGCCTCAGCTCGGGAAACTGAGCTTCGCGGAAGGTGAGGCGACTCCACCTTCCACTCCGCCAGATTCGGCCGCCTTGCTAGCGGCCTCCTGCACATCTGGGGAGGATGCGAATGTCGCAAGTCCTCGGTATACTTACGAGGCTGTCCACTTGGTTCCACCGCTGGACCAACCGCTCCACGTGCAACAGTCCACCGCATGCACGGTTTCATCACCATCGGCAACCGATTCGGCAGCTTCGCCGCAATCTATCGTCGGGGATTCGACGTCATGGTCAAGACTTGATGAGCTCGACCCGTTGACATTCACGGACTTCCAGTGGATGCCCGTTCCCTCGACCGGACGATTGC